ATCTTCTACCAATACCCGGTGCGGTAAAGAACCGTCGTTCTTTTACACCCTTCAAGTGTCGGCAGAGAACCATCGGCTGTTCATACTCTCCAAGTGTAGGCAGAGAACCTTCGTATTTTTACACTCTCTAAGTGTAGGCAGAGAACCTTTGTCCTTTCACACCCTCCAAGTGTAGGTAGAGAACATTCGTCTGTTCACACTCTCCAAGTATAGATAGAGAACCCTCTGATGTTCACACTCTCCACGTGTAGGTAGAGAACCATCGGATATTCACACTCTAAAAGTATTAATAGAGAATCGGATCTTCTTGAAAGATCTTCACATAAGCAATCTAGAAAGACAAGGGATAGAGTGAAAAACACAAATCACACACAGAGATCCTTACCCTTGAGTAACCTTGTGAATCCTTCAGGCTCCCCTAGGAAGAAATGTTTCTCAAACACTCTCTCACACTCTTTCCTTCAAATGCTCTTCATAAATAACTAAGACCAAGTGACAAAAATATTTACTATCAATTTTTAGTGGACCTTATATACAAAAGACACGGAAAATCGTCCAGAAAATTGAATTTTTCAAATTTGACCATCCACGATCATACCGTATGATAGTATTTCGTATGCACGAACAGTTCAAAAATTGTTACGTACGAACCCATTGCGAATCTGTATGAAATCATTTCGTACCCGATCATCGTCTGGTACGAACTGTCTTTGTCCGATACGAACTGTGTTCGTCCGATACGAACAGAAAAATTTCAAAGTTAGTATGTGCAAACTGTCAAGACGAAATGAACGAAGACAGATCAGAGCCCTTCATCCTGGTATGATCCAAAAATATCATACATACAATCTTCGTTTGAGGACCAACCAGAGCCCATCGTCCCAGTATGATCGAAAAATATCGTCCGTATAAACTTCGTTCGAGGATGAACTAGAGACCATCGTCCCGGTACGATCGAAAAATATTGTTCGTACAAACTTCATTCAAGGACGAACCAGAGCCCATTGTCCCGGTACGATCAAAAAATATCGTCCATATGAACTTTGTTCGAGGACGAACCAGAGGGCATCATCCCAGTACGAACAAGAAACATCATCCATACGAACTTCGTTCGAGGACAAACCAGAGGGCATCATCTCGGTACAAACGAAAAATATCATTCGTACGATCTATACTTAGAAAATTTTTTGCACATTTATGTTCGCTCCATTGCTCATTGGGGAAAATAAATGACCAGATCGTCCCATAAGAAACTAGTTTCGTACTGTATGATCAGTTTAAAAATATGAATTTTAAAACTCTCCCCCAGTGTGTGTGTGTGCTTAGTTACTCAATTACAATCACACTTTTTCAGACTCAATAAAATGAAAAATACAAATTTCAATTTATAATACACTCTAAATTGATCTTGATTTGAAGTCTTCAACAATCTGAAGTATAATTTCTTTGAAATGTTAGTACACATAAGAGCAAAATAATTCTTCCAAAAATATTATTATGAGAAATAATAATCATATATTTCTCTACCGCCGCGAATATTCCCCTATTTTCGGACGTCGAAGTTCCAGAAGTCCGAAAATAAAAATAAAAATAATAATTTTGTATATTTTAATTTGTAATAAAAGATAAAATTAATTGTTAAAAAGAAAGTTAACAAACTTAATTATAAAATTTTATGTCATAATTATTCTTCATGAATCAATCATTTTAATTTAAATTGAAATAAATTTATTCAAATTATTATTTTTTGTTTGAATTTATTATTCATGGCATAGGGTCATGTAGTTGTTATTTGAAAATTCAATAAAATGCATTAATATAGTTGATGTTATTACTGGGACAAACATGTCACATTAAGTTAATCAATTATCCAAACATATCATATTATGTGAGCTATATAGCAAGAATGTCCAATCAAATATCCAAACATTTCAAATTATATGAGCAGTATAACAGTCATGTCCAATCAATTATTCAAACTTGTCAAATTATGTGTACTATAGAGTTGTAATGTCCAATCAATCATCTATATATATCAGATTATGTGAGCTATATAACATCAATCTTTTGTCATAAATGAAATTTTTATTTTGGTAGAATTTAATTTAATTTGAAATATAACACTATCGATACAGGTCTCAAGTCCTGAATGAGAAAAGTGGAGGGTTGTGTTAGGTAGTCGACAGTCAGGATAAAATTTATCGAATAATTATGACATGAATCCTGTTAATGTTAGGATGTTCCCTAGAAGCGGCTCATTGTATTGCCTGAATATAACAACTGATGCGGATCATCTTAGCCGCAGGGAGTATCTTATCATTCCGTTATGCATAGTTTATTATTTCTTTATTAGTTGAATCTCCACTACTTGCATTTCCCCTTTTAGTAGCTAATAGTACTATGCAACTTTCTGTTATGGGTTGCTATTTTTAGCCTTCGTCTTTATACAAAAGCTGTATTGCCTTAGTTTTCTAGACAGAAAAGAAATATACTCCTCTGTTTGCTGCTTAGCAATTCCTTTGTCTTGTTTTGGTGTTATTGTTCTATTCGTTTATCTACAGGAAACTTCCTCTACCGACTACCTACGTCAACAACAAGTGAGCAAGGGCCACTAAATACAACGACAAGTGAGCAAGGGTCGCTGCATCGGTGCCCGTGTGCAATATTAAATAGACAAAGTTTCCCACATCATGAACTAATGTGGGCAAAGAAGCTAATCCAATAAACTAAAATTAGGATAAAAATTGGAATATATGTTGAGGTAAATTAATAGAATTAAGAAATATTATAATCCATAGGAATTTAAACATTCTTTGCATTTCAAAAACTAAGTGGGTTGAAGAAAATGCTAAGGAGATTAGTAGTTTATGATTTAAATTATGATATTCTTGTAGGAATCGTACTAGAAATGATGAATGTGTTAGATTATATATAGGAGTTTGAAGGATAATGTTGTAAAAATTAATAGAATTGAAGATAAAATTATAACTTTAAGGATTATTTTTGATGCTAAGATTATTAATATTATAAATACTTATGCTCCTCAAGTAGGTTTGGATATGTGTTCAAAATTAAATTTTAGAATGACAAAAAAAATTAATACATAAGATACCTCTCGAAGAAAGAGTTTTTATTGGAGGAGATTTAAATGAACATGTTGGTAGAGAGGTAGATGATTTTAAAAGTATTTATGGTGGCTAAGGCTTTGGAGAGACTAATGAAGGTGATAAGATCATATTAAATTTTTCCTTAGCTTAAGATTTTGTAATTGCTAATACATTATTTTAAAAAATAGATGAGCATCTTATCGTGTAGTAAAACTCAGACTAATTATTTTCTTAAAAAAATAATAGTTTATTTATATTACCAAGATTATAAAGTTATTCTGAGTGAAAGTTTATGTACGTAACATCGCTTACTAGTTTTTGAATTTAACATGAATGGACAAAAAATTAAAAATAAAGTAAATAATTGTTCTAGAATTAAATTGAGATATTTAAAGAATATTAAAAAAATATTTTTGAGAGTAAGATTCTAAATCTTAAGATTTTATCTTTGTGTGAGGATGCTAATGTTATGTGTAAAAATATAGATTGTGTTATTAAGAATATTGCAAAAGATGTGCTTGGAACATTAAAGGAAAAATCTACTAATAGTGAAAATAGTTGACGGTGGATTCAAAATGTGCATAAAAAGATAAAAATAAGAAGATTTGCTATAAAAATTGATTTAACTGTAAAAATTTTGATAATTGAGAAATATATAAAGATGCCCGTAAGGAGTCTAATAAAATAATTTGCAATGCAAAGATTTTAGCATTTAATGGTTTATATAGTAGATTGTTTACTAAGAAGATGAAAGATATATGTATAAGTTAGCTAAATAAAGAGATAGGACTAATAAGGATTTAGTTCAAGTGAAGTGCATTAAGGATGAAGATCAAAAAGTTTTTTTTATTAAAAGAGAATATTCAATAAAGGTGGATGAGATATTTTGCTAAACTTTTCAATGAAAATTATGAGAATGCAATTGACTTTAATGACTTTATATATGTAAGTATGATTTTTTTTAGGAAAATTTGGGCAAAGCCCATATATTAAGAAAAAGAAAGCATACAAGTAAAAACTAAGATCTCCACAAAAAGAGGGAGAAGCTCACAGTGAGCTCAAAAAGGCAAAAATTTTAAAACCAAAACTATACCAAAAGGAACAAGAGCCCGAAAAACCAACATGAGCCGGAACTCAGTCAAGAATCGTCTCATCAACAATGCGAGATCCAGAATTAAAGGCACCCTGGTTGCGCGAAGATCGTCCAAAGATAGCCATAGTGAATGTGGACATCATTGTACAATCACAACTAACATCCTAATGCAAATGCGATATTTTAAATTTATAATTGAAGATTTTTTTTTTTCATGAGTTAAATTGGACTAGAATTGAAAATTATCTATTTGAGTTAATTTTTCAATAGATTTAAGTGAAATATATTTAAATTTTAAAAATTAAAAGTTATTATTATCATCATCATCATCAAGTAATTATTTATGAAGTATTATTATATATATATTCATAAAATTTGAATGTATGAATAAAAATTCATTCAATTAAGTATGGGTCTTGAAATAAAATTTCATTCCCCAATGAAACTTGGTATTTGTACTGCAAACTTTTAAAATTGAATTCGAGGCCATTAGAACTCTATTTTAAAAAATATTATAGCATAAATATGTACCTCAATGGGACAAGCATAACAATATCAAGAGCATCTGAATTTAAGTTTAAATAGATAAAGAATGAAGCACTTTGAAGCATTTTTAATGATAACATTTCAATGGCACTTAGTGTAAGAGGCTGAGCGCGGGAAACAGAGAGGAAGAAGACAGGAAGAATTTGAAAAGAAACAGAGTATCTTATTATTCAAATATGTAAGTAATACAACGGTATTTATAAAAGGCTTAATAAAGGTAAAATACAATATGATAGATATGGGACAAAAGGTTTTTAAACTGTGTGCTCACATTCCCCCTCAAATTGATCATTCGTCGGACGAATGGTCAATTTGGAGACGAGATAATCGAAGCGAGAACTGGAAAAAGACTTTGTAAGAATATCGGCAATCTGTTCTTGAGACTCAATGTGCTGTATGCGAATGTTCCCAGTGAGAAGATGTTGCCGGATGAATTGAAAGTCGATTTCGATGTGCTTGGTGCGGGCGTGAAATACCGGATTTCTCGCGATAGCAATGGCGGAGAGATTATCACAGTGTATAATGGTTGATTCTGTTTGCCGAAGGAGGAGTTCCTCTGCGAGACGCCGAAGCCAAAGAACGTCCGACGTGGCTGCCGAGAGAGCTCGATATTCCGCCTCTGTAGAAGACTTGGCAACCGTTGCCTGTTTCTTAACGGACCAGGAGAGAAGATTTGGTCCCATGAAAGTGCAGAATCCTGAGACGGATTTCCGATCGCTGTGATCGGAAGCCCAGTCGGCGTCGGTGAAGGTGCGAAGAGTGATGTCGCCGGGTGTGATAGGAAGTCCGTAGGCGTAGGTACCCTTCACATATCGTAGAATCCGTTTGATATTTTGAAAATCATGATCAGTCGGATGTTGCATATGTTGACAAGCTTGATTAGTTGCGAATGCAATGTCTGGTCGAGTGATGGAGAGGTATTGAAGAGAGCCCGCGAGACGACGATAGAGGTAGGCGTCGCGAAACGGTGGACTGTCAGCGGGCGAATGCTTGGAGGCCGGAGTTATAGGAGTAGGAGCGGCTTTGCAATCGGTGAGGCCGGCATCCTGAATGAGTTTCTGCGCGTAGTGTCCTTGATTGAGGAAGAATCCATTTGCTGTTCGAGTCACTTGAATACCGAGAAACAGCGAAATCTGGCCGAGCTGTTTAAGAGCAAAATGGGAATGAAGATCTTGAAGAAGAAGCTGGATTTGTGCGGGATCGTTACCAGTAACGAGTATATCGTCCACGTAAATGAGTAGAAAAATGTGAACATTGGATTTGTTGTAAATTAAAAGGGAGGGGTCGGAACGACTAAACCTGAAACCGCGAGATTGTAGGAAGTTGGTGAATTTTTGAAACCACTGTCGCGGGGCTTGTTTGAGGCCATACAGGGACTTGTGCAGTTTACAAACGGCGGTGGGATGTTGAGGATCTTCAAAACCGGGTGGCTGTCGCATATAGATATCCTCAGAAAGGTCGCCGTGAAGAAACGCATTTGAGACGTCTAATTGGAGCATTGGCCATTTCCGGTTGACAGCAAGAATCAGAAGCATACGTATAGTGACCATTTTAGCCACTGGGCTAAATGTTTCGTTGTAGTGCTCGCCGAAGTTCTGCGCGTAGCGAGTGCGACGAGCCGAGCCTTATAGCATCAATCTGCCCGAGGGTAATGTTTTCGTCTTGTAGGTCCATTTGATCCGATTACTTGTTTGTTGAGGAGCTGGTACGAGGACCAGGTGCGCTGCTTAATTAGAGCCTGATATTCATTTGTCATAGCATTTTCCAGTGCAAGTGTTTTGATGCTTGTTGTACGTATGTGCGGACTGTGTTCCCTGCATTGCGAGTAAAGAAATAATTGTTCGGTTTTGATATATTATTTTGGTACGTATTTGCATGGGATGTGTTGGTAGAGAGAAGATCTGTGTGAATCGGTGATATCGGCGTGAGATGCGGGAGACGGCGACAGCTCTGTATAGTTCTGGATATGGACTGGAGTGCTGCTACGACGGTCTGAACTGGTTCAATTGGCTTGGTTGGTTGTGGGATTGAGCGGTACAGTAGTAGCGGGAGGCATATTGTTCGGTGTCGTCTGCGTGGAGTTTGTATGCTGAGAATCTGATATTTAGAAGAGGAAGTTGTCTCGTGAATCCACATGGCGAGAGATTTGCGTTTTGTTGGTTGCTATATTGTAACACTTAATCCCTATGGTTGGTGCGAGTAGCCAAGAAATAGACAAGGTTGGGCGGGGGACGCTTGCTGGGCATACGCGTTGTAACCATGGATAGCATAGGCAACCGAAAGTTCGGAGGTTGTCGCTAGTCGGTGGGTTGTGTTAAGTTTTAAAAAGGAGGTCGTGTAGAGCGAACTTGATTTAGATGGAAGCCTGTTTATGAGATAGTTGCATTGAAACGGCATCGTTCCAGATAGGTATTGGAGACCGGAAAGCGATCAGCAGTGCTTCGAGTGATTCGGTAGATGTCGACTGCTTCTCTCTGCTTAACGCCGTTCTGTTCGGGCGTATGGAGGACAGAGTGAGTTGATGAGTTGCGAGAGAGTTCAGGTAGTTCGTAATCGGTTGCTTATAAATCACCGCCTGGAGTCCGAACGATATTTTTGGGTCGCATGATTGATTATGTTTCATTCGCTCAATAAATTTTTAAACAGAGAAGGTTTCGTTTTGGTGCGCATAAAGTAAATCCATGTGAATTAGTGAAATCATCAATGAAAACAACATAGTATCGGAAATTTTGCAGGAGGTCGGAATTGGGTCCCATTACATCGAGTGGAATTAATTCAAACGAATGTGTGGTGTCGATTTGCCGATTTTTGAATGTTTGCTTATGCTTTTAGCCTTGCACACGATTGACATTGAAAATCAGATGGAATATGGTTGCAAATTAGAAAATGCGAACAAGAGTATTTAAGATTTATTGTTCGGATGACCAGACGGCGCGTGCCACACAGTGGAGGGGAGGTGGGAAGGTGAAGACGCTTCGGCCGAGCGTCGGTAGTTATTTGAAGTGATAACTCCATTATGCAGTCGACCACGAAGAAAGGGGCTGATGAGTCTGAACATCCTTAATATCAAGCCACTTAGAATCAAATGTAATAAGCTAACATCGTTTTTTGTGTAGCTTTAAACAGATATTAGGTTGTGTGTCTAAAGCGGTACATGAGGAGAGACCAGAGATGCAGCTTACGCGCGCGAATTAGGCAGGGAGCAAACCTTGTCCAAAGTTTTGCTAATGAGGTATCTGAGGCACCCATGGCCGTGGAGACAGAGTCTGGGCCGTGGTATGCATTGGAGTGTTGAAGGTTCGTGCTTGTCAGCCGTCAATGCTGGCGTGGCCGCCGGAATCATTACCCAGGTTTGAGTTGTATGTCTGACAGTAGGATTGAGCAAGTAAGGGTCGGGAGCAGATCCGGTTGGTGTTAGCATGGTGCGTACCTGTGCCACATTGGATGGAACGTACGAATCATTGCCGCAGAATTTTGGAAGTCGGTCGCGATTACCTGAGCATGGGTGAGATTAAGGAAGATGAATCCGGCGACATTGGTGGGTCTGTACGAAGTGTTACAGGTAATTTTGTTCCGTTTCTGGAGTTTGTTGCATTTTGATCTAGGAATTGAGTGGTGTAGTAGGCTGCAGGAGCGGGAGGAACTTTCCTTGATATCATCTGATTCAACGTGTTATTTCTTCACTAATAAAAAGCGAGTTATAGAGCGTCAAGATCTGCGGGCTGCGAAGAGGAAGCGCTATTATCATGTCTTTATGGAATTTTAAGCTAGCACGGAGACCGTTCAATGTATAGTAGAACCGATATCTTCCAGGATCCACGGTGGCCCCGGAGGCAGCAATTGGGTATCGACATGGTTTGATTATGAGCGCAAGTATTGCCTGCATTGTGAGGTTGTCATGTGAACGTGGTGGAGCTCGTTTCTTTAGTTGTAAGATGGAGAAGCGAACTAGAGATTGAGAGTCGTCGCTCAAAACGGTCCAGACCTCATGAAACGTGACAGAGGTGATGACGGTAGGGAAGAATGGTGGTTTCGAACAATCGTTAGAGAATAGGCTGAGATCAAGCTTGCTATCAAATGAGTCGCCACTGGGCGTATTCTTGACGTGCTGCTGTCCGGAGGGGGTGGTTTTTCCGGTGAGGTGATCGGCGTATCCGTTCGCCGATAGGTGTTGAAAGATCTGAGACCGCCACAGAGCATAGTTGTCGGAGGTGAGGGAGTAGGACATCAGGTTCTTGATGTTGGAGATGATGAATTTGAGGGTGGGAGGAAGAGTGAGTTCTGAGGTTGCCGTGGGTGTCACGGTGGAGACGGGATGGAGGGACGATGATGCTTCTTGATCTGCCATCCTGGCCGCCTGATACCATGTAAGAGGTTGAGCGCGGGAAACAGAGAGGAAGAAGACAGGAAGAATTTGAAAATAAACAGAGTATCTTATTATTCAAATATGTAAGTAATACAACGGTATTTATAAAAGGCTTAATAAAGGTAAAATACAATATGATAGATATGGGACAAAAGGTTTTTAAACTGTGTGCTCACACTTAGTTGGTGTTGACAAATTAAATGTTTTGATTTGCTATAATACTTTTTTAGACAAATATGCATAATTAGTGTTAATAATCCCGAGCAATAAACTAACAATTATATTATCAATTAGAGTAAGGAAATAATTTTATTTTCATATTTAAACATCATTATAGGGAAGTAACAATTATCCTTAAGGATAAAATCAACATTCACCTATTGTTTCGAATATGACATTGACTCAGAATAAGTCTGATTGACGTCCAGAGATTTTTCCTTCCTCTTAGCAAGCTAAGATAGTGTTTATTTCAAATTGGGATCTTGAGTTACTATAGAAGCAAGCCGATACAGTCAATTACATCCCCAAAGAGAAAACTTCTAATTAAAGTGGATATTAGATTCTAAATTTATAATACAATTATGTATATAAACAAGTTGCCTTAGATGTTTAAAATTCCAACCATCTCTTCCAAAATACTATTAGATTTTATACAAAATATATTTTTATTTAACATACATATATTTTTATTATTTATTAGAATAAGAGGTGTGCAAATTAAAATATATTTTCTATAAAATCTCTCAAAGTTACCTGTTATCTTCACCGAAAAAGCTCAGGCAAAACTACTCTGTTGAAGATAAAATATCAGTTTTAGTATCCCTCCCATGATTAAAAAAAGATAAAAGTAAAACCTCTTCTTATACTTATATCAGCTAATTCTCACCATTGAAGAGAAAATATGCCTAACCACAGAGTTTGAAATTAAAGTTTTTTCTTACTGTTTTATGGAGCAATTTTTAGTTAAAAATTTTCAAATTTCAAAATATTTTTATCCCAACAAACTATTTCATAAAACATTAAGAAATCTATGCCAAACAATTAGAAACATGAACATTGATTACTTACCACATATAATCTTATAAATCTCAGTAACAATCCTTCTCTTTCCATCTCTTCTACCACTCAAATCTTGTGTTGAAAACTGCATCAGCAACTTTAAAACATAGAAGAGAAATAAATATACTCCCTACTTAATCTACTATGAAGTATTTGAAGGCAAGAAAGTCTGGAAATCTAACAGAAGAACTGCGAAGTAAGTTCATATAAAACCAAAAGATATTATAAAAACTCACTTTTGGAATTCAATTACAAACACTTAGATCGTCAAAACAAATTGGAAAAAGGCGAACGAGAACAAGGAATTATCTGTCAAGCTTCAGCAGATCGCAGGAAGGTTGATATCGACTTACAGAGCTTCAAGAAGCAGGTAGAAGAGTTAAAAGGCGACTAATGAGAGGAAGATTGCTGATCTGCAACTCCTTTCTTTCAAGAAGAAAGAAGTTGTGAATCTCAAATGGTGAAAGTAATGTAATTTAGGCCTGTCATTCTGTTCCAGATGTTTGGGGAAGAAGAAAATGGTCTCGTGATGATGGTGTGAAGCTGCTGAAGCTTGGCGACGAGGAGGACGAAGCGTCGGCATGGAGCTAAGAGGAGAGTGAAAGGGATGAGCCAAATGCCCAATTCTAAGATTAGCATTTCGACCTCTGCTTTTTTCCTTCTGTGCGGCTTTCTGCTTTGATGCTTTCTTTTAAATAGTGTAGAAATATGATGGTATTTTCTTTAAGGAAATCTTAAAACTATCAGAATTCGATTTTTCAGTGAAATTTAAAAAAAAAAATCGGCCAAATTTTATTTTATATCCCCATCCTTTTTTTTTTTGTTGCCAAATTTTATATTTATTTCTACGATTTCATAATATGGATGACAGGATGAGGGCTCAAAATCAGTTTTTTCTTTAATTTTAAGAGTTTTAGGCTTCATTTGGGGTGGCTTTCTTTTTTTTTTTTGGTAAATTTGGGCAAAGCCCGTATATTAACTCAAAAGAAGATTACAACTGTGGTAACATAGCATCAAAATTTGGCCAAATAAAAAAGGCCAAGCTACAAGAGCTTCAAAAAAGGCAAAAACCTATCAAAAATTACACAAGTGTTTATACCCAGGAAAAACTCCAACCAAGGCCAA